ACTTAATTTAATAAATTATTATAAATTAATCTAATTATGATTAAATTAAATTATTAAATAAAAAATATTTTATTTTTTAATTAGTGAATAATTAAATTATATTATATAATTTTACCGATCGGATTTATCCGTCGGTAAATAATTTTTAATTTACATATGAATTTACCGACGGATATATCCGTCGATAATTACTTGTTAATTTATCGACGGATTTACCGATCGGATATATCCGTCGGTAAATTCATCTATAAATTACCGACGGATTTATCGACGGATATATCCGTCGGTAACTAATTATTATTTTATCGACGGATATATCCGTCGGTAACATCAAATTTCACAAATATTTTATATTCGTCGGTAATTTCCGTCGGTAATGATTATTTTCCGACGGCTACAATTCCGTCGGTAAATATCCGTCTGGTAATACGCGATTTTCTTGTAGTGGGTAAAATGAAAATATGAATTTAGGATTTAAATTTTTAATTGGTTTCCATTGTATTTAATAAAATAATATTTGTATAATATAATAAATTTTGATTAGTAATAATATTTTTTATAAAAAATAATAATAATAAAAATTATTATCATAAATTTCATAAATTATAAATATAAATTATGAATAATTATTAAAATAAAATAAAAAATATATAGTAAAATAATTATTATTTAAATTTGATATAATTAATATGAGATAAAAAAAATATTTTTTATAAAAACTTATATTTTAAAAAATTGATAATAAATTTTTTGTTTGTCAAAATAAGTTTGACAAAAAATCTAACCAATTTTTCAAATTTTATTGGTAATTCTGGTGAAGAGGAAGATTCATGATGCATGGCTGGAAGTGAGACCAGGTAAGCACTTATGCACCACAAAGAGTTGAGTGGTTGGAATATTCAGAGAGACTCTTTGCATAGTAAAGTGCAAATGTCTTTTTCATTCTCCATTTATACTAACTTCCCTTTATTCTACACAATTCTCTTTAAATCTATGCATCCTTGCTTCTCATTTTTATACTTTATAATTCTTTCATATTTTTCACACTATTTTCAAGTCTCAAGATGGATATGATTGGTGTTTATTATGTAAAAAATCATTTTCTAACTATGATTTGTGTCATGTTATTACAAATGATGTAAAATGTTACACTAATAATCAAGAAAGAATAACTTTCAAAAATGTTCCAACTAGACATTTGTAAGCAGAGTCATTTGTAAAGTGACGAAATTTTTAACTAAAGACCACATTTTTAACTATTTTGTCATCTATTTCTTGCTTTCATTGGCTTGTTGGAAGGTTTCAACGAATCTCATGGAATGCCATTGAAGTTCATTATCCATACTTTTGAATGACAGTGTGAAAAAGTGCATCCCCAACAGTTTTGGAGACATGCAAGTAATCCTTAAGCTAATCAATACTTTTACTAATGTTTTTCAACATGTAATGTAAGACATCATAGCTCATATAAAGTTCATCTCCAGGACCCAATGACAGTTATACAAGCCTTAGCCAAAGCAACCATGCAAAATTATCTTCAAGAAATAAATTAGTATTTGACCCATTTTTGTTTTGTAAGGTATCTCTCTTAGTGTGTTAAAGATCCAAAATTTATAGAATGGAGAATTTGAAATTATTTATCACAGATGTTGTATGAATAAATACGAAATTTAAATTCTAAAAGTTTATGAGGATAATTTGACAATTTTAAATTTAAGAATTTTAAATTTTACATAAAAAAATAAAATTTTATATTTTTATTCCTTTATCATCTTTTTATATTATCTCCTTTATTAAGTTTTAATCTTGACTCAATATTTTTTTTAATATTAAATATTGTTTAATATTAAATTAAGATTTATATTTGATAATATTTAATATATTTTATTTAAACAAAAATTTAAATTATCTAATTCAAACAAAATATTTGAAAATTAAAACAATTTGAAATTAAGTAATTTAAATTTAGTGTGCTTATTTTCTTTTTAAATTATAAAATTTCTCATTTAAATACAATATTACGTTGTGTTTATACGAACATTTTTTAGAGGCTACTTCATTTTTCAGGATAATTTAAAATTTTCTACGATGAAATATGTTATTTCGGTGAGAAATTTTAAAGAACCTGAAATTCTTAAAATTTATCAAAATAATTTAATTAATTAAAATTAAATAAATCAAATTTCATCTAAAACAAAATAAGGATTTAAAATTTTTTATACACTCTCATATCTCATATTTATATATTTTTCTAATTATATTCTTTCGTAACTTAGATTATGAATTTAACATTTTTTTATTAATATGATATTTTTTTTAATTTAAAGTCGAACCAGATTATTTTTAAATCATTAAAATTAATTTTTTTCAACGTAAATCAATTATATTTTTATTATGTTAGACAGACTATTTTATTTTTCACTCATTTTTTTCGACTAATTCTTATAAGTGTATTTTTTTTATCAACATTAGTGACACTATTTTTAGTTAATATGAAATTGTAAAGTTTAGTTTTTTAGTTGATGTTGATATAAGTTATTTTTCGATTAAATTTATTGAAATTATTTTTCCACTAATACGTGTTAAAGCTAGGGTTTTAATTGAAATTAGAGTTGTTTTTCATAAAATGTTAGTTAGATTTTTCTAGTTGATATTTTTCATAATTATTTTTTTTGTTATTTTTCAATCAAAATTAATAGTGTTAATTTTTGTCCAAAATTTTCTTTATAATGTAGATGTTTTTACAGTACTTCACATGTTTTTTATGAACTTATTACTTATTAAATTAATATTTCTTTAATGAAATATATGCTGTGCAAAAAGCATCATACATTACTGAAATAATTTATTTATTTAGTTATTAATGGTTAATTTTTTAAGTTATTAAGATAATAATTGATTAATTAACTATTTAAATAATTGATTTCAGTTACGAATTAATTATTTCATTAATTGATCTATCTTATGAATTACGTTACAGATTAAATCATTAATTGTTTAAAAGCAGTTTTCGAAAGTATACTTTTTACAGCGCACTGTATTAAATAGATGGGACGCGTGGGGATATTAATTTGTTTATGATTTTAAGATTTTATATTAATTTGAGTTTTTTTTTAATTTAATTTTTATTTTAAAATATGAAAATAGATTATAGTAATTATTCGTTATATATGCACCTGACAAACTCGTTTTAATTGAATGGTTGAATTTTTAAAAACACATCTATTCCTATATATAATCTACAATTATATATATATATATATATATATAATATATATATATATATATAATCTATAACTATTTTTTGTAAAAATAAAAATATTGTAATTTAAAGAAAAATAATTATTATAATTTATATATTTAAAAATATTAAATATATATAAAAATATGATACAAAATTATTAAAAAATAAAGATATATTTAAAGGAGAAAAAAATAAAATAACTTTTTAAAAAAATAATTATATAAAAGATATGGATAAATACTTTACACCTTGTAAAAGGATTTTTTTTTCCTAATGGCTCTTTTAATGTCATGGGGAAGAGAAAACAAAAATTATAATTTAAAAAAAATAATTATTATAATTTATATATTTAAAAAATAATAAAAATATGAGAAAGAAAAAAATTTGTTAAATTTAAAAATGAAAAGAGAAAATAAAATAATATTTAAAATAATATTAAAAATGTTAATTATAAAAAAATCATAGATACAAATATACTTTTGAAAATACCTACTTACTCCTTAATTGTAATTTATGATTTTGAAGTCATAAAAATATATAAACAGTAATTAATGATTTTGACTTCATAAAAATATATGATTTGCATTGAATTTTTATACGTTTAAAATTTAAAAATCATTAATTATTTTCAAGTTTTTCTTTTGATAAATTTTCATATTAAAATTTCCATTTATATCAAATTTTTTAAATGGAAAAAAAATTGAGATTCTTCATTCTTGGTTAAAATTGCTTTTAATATTTGTATTCTTATTTATCTATTAATATTATCTATAGTAGTAATTATAAGTGGAAAGTGTCTAAGAGAAACCTTTAAATATGAATAGCTAAACACCACCGTCAGAGTCCGGTCCCTAAACTCAACTCTTTCTCTTCCCAAAAATATTTCAAAAACTCTTAAGGTAATTTTTAATTAAAATGGTTTAAAAATAAAATTAAATACTTTATTATAAGTGTCACAGTTGATTTACTTAAAACATAATCAGAGTTGTTTATCCAAATAACTTTCTTGTCGGAATAACTTTCTTCTAATTTTAAGCAACTTAGACGTGAGACTTATAATAAAATATTTATTTTTATTGATGAACAACTCTTACTAGCAACTTTGATACGAGAGTAGTTATTATCAGTTTTATTCTTCAAAATACGTTTATTTCCTGGATATTAATTATTTTTATTATTTATAACTATAACTTCCAAAAGAGTAAATTTTTCTAATCAATATGTCTTCTACAATTAATGTTCCCAACACCATAACTCTCCTCTTCATAAATATATATAAAAGTTTCTCTGACTCCATATTTTAATTTTAATTTAAAAAAATAATTTTTTTTTATAAAATTATCTTATTTTCTAGAATATAATAAATATAAAAAATTTATAAAAAGCAAATAAATAATTTAATATATTTTATATTAAAAAAATTCATAAAAATTAATTAATAATTATATAAATAATTTTATAATTATATAAATATTTAACTTTTATAATAAATATATTTTCCCTTTTATTTTATTTTTTGTATTTTTTTCTTATAAATCATAATATCATTTCTAATTTAAAATATTATATTTATAAAATATGAGATCCACCTCAACTCAAAATATTAAAACATTAAATTTAAGAATATGTTTAAGTTTTTTATTTTAATACGGAATTTCAACTAATTCTTAATTTCAACCTAATAATCCTCTTTATATATCTGCCAACTTTGTATCTTTTGTACAAGAAAAGTAGAAAGCTAAAAGTTGACAGTGCCATGTCTCACACCATGAAGCAGTATCTACACCTTCGAAATTCTCATGTAATTCTTTTCTCGTCTTCAGATTTTCTTACATAGAACGCATATTTTGTCATGACTAACCATCAAATAGAGTTTTTCGGATCCATTTATACACATTCATTTAGATTTTGATAATTTTCATAGCAAACTTTTGGCTAGTGTATGGTCATATATTTCTCAGATGTCTTGTTATAGATGGTCTATTAAAACAAAAGAACATGTATTTTGAAGTGTTATTTTTCTTACGGACTGTGGTTAATGATTTCGCGGAGGGATAATTGTTTTGTGTAGGTGACTGGTGTAATCTCTTTGATAATAATATTATTGGGAGCAGTACATGTGAAGGTAGCAGAATGTAGGGAATATGATGGATTGAACAACGTTGAATACCCTGCCATAAATTGCAGAAATCACAGTGCAGTTTTGACAGATTTTGGTGGGGTTGGTGATGGAAAAACATCGAACACGGAGGTGTTTCGATCTGCAATAAGCAAACTGAGCCAATATGCTTCAGATGGAGGTGCAGAACTTACTGTACCACCTGGCAAATGGCTAACGGGACCCTTCAATCTCACAAGCCATTTCACTCTTTTTCTCCAAAAGGATGCTGTGCTTCTTGCTTCTCAGGTTTAGCCTCCACCCACTACTTTCTCCCTTCTCTTGCAATTACATTTTTAGACTTTATGATCTTCTAAAGGGTCACTTACATTACCACATTAACAGGATGAATCAGAATGGCCCCATCTTCCTGTACTACCTTCTTATGGAAGAGGAAGAGATGCTCCTGGTGGAAGGTTTAGCAGTCTAATTTTTGGGACTAACCTCGTCGATGTTGTAATAACTGGTAATTATTTAGGCCAAATAATAGAATGCCATCAATGGTTGATAAGTTTGTTTTAAGCAGGGATCACAATTAAAGTCAGAATTTAAAGAGGAAACACAGATGAAAACACATGTAAAAATGAATTTCTCCCGCTTTAAAAAGCCAAAGTGGGAAGAGATAACTAACGTAATCTTCCTCCCACTTCCTCCCTATCTTCACCCCCCACTTTATATTTAAATTTAAATATTAATATTTTAAAGTATTTTTTTTCCTATTACATATAAAATTATTTTTTTTATATTTTACTATTTTTTCTTTTTTTAACAACATTTTTTTTTTATCTTTTTTAATTTTTTATATTAATTAATTTATTACATTATTCTCTTTTTCTTATCTTTCAGTTTTTTATATTTTCTTATCTCTTTAATCATTTTTTTAATCTTTTCAATCAATATAATAAATATAAAGTTAAATTTTTTTCTTTAATTTTACATAAATCTTAACATAATAGTAACTAATATTATTTTATTTATAATTTATATTTATTAAATTTTATTATGTCATATTTTTTAATTTTATTATTCTTATTTATCATATATCAAATTTTATCTTAATAAAATAATTATCTTTTAAATGATTAAAAAAATTAATAATTTAATCTTTTATTATTTCAAATTAATTAAATAAAAATTAATTTATTAAATATTTTTTTTATAAATTATATATTTTATATTTTTAAATAATAACTTAAAAATAAAATAACTTATATATATAATCAAATATTTAAATATAATATTATATTATTATATTTAAATGTTTAAATATAATATTATAATAATATTATTATTATTATTATAAATATTCTAGATATATATATATATAAATAATTAAATATTTTTTTTACATATATTTTAATATAAATATAATAAATTACAATATATATTTAATTAATGATAATTATAAATATTTATTTATATATAAAAAATATATTAAAATAGTAAAATTAATTTATTATAAGTATAATTTTTTTTAAATAATATAGATCGGATAAAAAAGAGAGAATCCTAAATCCAATAAAAATAGAAATATAAATTTAATTTCTAATCTCTACGTAAATCGAGACGGGTAGAAAGACTGTTAAAAATGTCAATGGTGGGAATTGGGTGCCATATCCCGTCCTTGTCCTCTCCCTCGCCCCATGCTTAAGGTGGCCAGATATCTTGAATTTTACCCATTTGAATTTGGTCTTTAGGTCAAAATGGTACAATTGATGGACAAGGATCTTATTGGTGGTACAAGTTCCGCAACAAACAATTGAAACTCACCAGACCATACATGATTGAGATCATGTACTCTGATCAAATTCAAATATCAAATCTCACTTTAGTCAATTCCCCATCTTGGTTTGTCCATCCAATTTATAGCAGGTTTGATGAGGCTTTTCTGATAAAATTTCATAACTTCGCGCACTCTTTATTCTTCATGTATAGTGTGCTTCATTATTCTGATCAAGCTTTACATCTTCAGTAATATAATTATACAAGGGCTTACCATTCTTGCACCAGTGACCTCTCCCAACACAGATGGAATAAACCCAGGTGAAGTGTTTGTTTTCTATTATATACTTATTTTCACTTACTTTTGATGGCAAACTTATGTCACTAAATTTGTAACCTTTCTTCTTTTATTGTTTAGTTTTTTCAGTTTGATTACATACTTGAAATTTATCTAGGGTAATTCATATTAAAATGCTTTTCATCACTTGGATTGACTATATAGTTGACAACCACTGTCTAAATACTTCTAACTTTTCTCTTCTCCACAGATTCATGTACAAACACTATGATTGAAGACTGCTACATCGTTTCGGGTGACGATTGCGTTGCAGTAAAAAGTGGGTGGGATGAGTATGGAATTAGATTTGGAATGCCAACCCGGCACTTAATCATTAGAAGGGTGACTTGTATATCGCCAGACAGTGCCATGGTTGCATTAGGCAGTGAAATGTCTGGTGGAATTGAAGATGTTAGAGTTGAAGATCTCACTGCCATCAACACTGAGTCAGCTGTTAGAATCAAAACAGCAGTTGGTAGAGGTGGATATGTGAAGAACATATTTGTCAGAGGATTGAAGCTGAACACCATGAAATATGTATTTTGGATGACTGGGTCTTATGGATCACATCCTGACCCTGGCTTTGACCCCAAAGCACTTCCTATTATTTCTGGAATAAATTATAGAGATGTTATAGCGAAGAACGTCACATATTCTGCAAAACTTGAAGGAATTTCTAATGACCCTTTCACAGAAATCTGCATTTCTAATGTTAATATCCAAGTGAGTGAACAACGGAAGAAGCTTCAATGGAATTGCACTGATGTTGCTGGAGTTACAAGCAATGTCACTCCTCTTCCTTGCCTATTGCTGCCAGAAAAAGGGAATTTCAATTGTCCTTTTCCAAATGACAAACTTCCCATTGAAAATGTTCGATTCAAGACATGTTCTTTGAAAACTGTCTTCTAATTCCAAGGGTGTATTTGAATCTTGAAGCTTTAATGGAAATCATAAAATTGTTAGAAGAGAAAATGTTGTCTTGAGGATTATTATTATTAAACAAATATGATTATGTCTTTAGATAAAAAGTTATGAAATGGATATATATAAGAAAAAAAAAGATGAGAGATGAAAAATGATTATAATTTAGCCTACTGATCACATTTGTAAATTGAAACACAACGAATAAAATTATGAGAGATTGAATAGTGTGTTAGTATTGAAATAATTAAAAATCTAATTTTGAAAATCTTTTCAAATGATCATAACTTCACAAAGTAATAAATTTACTTAATTAATTTGAATGTTATATTTAAAGAAAATAATAAATTATTAATTATTTTAAAATTGTAACGTTTATATTATTAATTGTCTCTGTAAATGAGTCACGAGTTTGATAGGACCACAATTTTAGACACAGTAAAAAATGAAATGAAGGAGAAGAAGAACCAAGAGAATAAAAAGATAGTAAAATTACGATTTGGAAAAATGAATAGTATTGACTCAATTAAAGAGAAAATAATACAAAATTGGACAGAAATGAAAATAGAGTTTTTAAAAATGATTATATTAAATAAAAAACCTAAACTACAATGATTTTTATCCATCTTATATCTAAATTTATGATATTTTTCTTAGTTTAATATTTTCATAGTTCGATGGAAGTTTTATTTGAAAACTTTGGAATTGAATATTAGACTTTTATGAATCACATTAAATTATTGGACAGTTATATATAACCTTAATTTTATTCAAATTATATGATTTAAATTTTGATGTTTAAGGAATTGAGACTTAAACTTTTAGCGGTTTTTCTCTAATATGATATTTATATTTGGTTAAGTATTTATTATCTAATACGCGTTCTTTTGTATTAATCACATTTATTTTTCATAAGTTAAAACCGCGTCACCTGTTTCATAAAAAAGAAATTTAAATTTCAATAAATTTTATTTTGTTTAAGGTTTTGTTTATTTTATATTCGTTTTCTTTAATTTATTTGTAATATCAATGTATGCTTCGTTATAGTCATTTTATCAAATTTTTTATTATTTAAATAATATATTATGCACCATGTAATCTTATTTAAAAGCAAACATTCTCTTCTAACACTTTATTTCTACCATGCATAAGTTTCAAGATCCAAATACACTCGTGCTATTAGAAGACAGTTTTCAAGGAACATGTCTTGAATTGAACATCTTCAATGGGTAGTTTGTCATTTGGAAAAGGACAAACGAGTTTCTCTTTTTGTGGCAGCAATGGACAGGGGTTAGGAGTGACATTGCTCGAAGCTCCAGCAACATCAGTGCAATTCCATTGAAGCTTCTTTTGTTGTTCACTCACTTGGATAGTCACATTAGAAATGCAGATTCCTGTGAAAGGATCATTAGAAAGTCCTTCAAGTTTTGCTGAATATGTGACGTTCTTCGCAACAACATTTCTATAATTTATTCCAGAAATAATAGGAAGTGCTTTGGGGTCAAAGCCAGGGTCAGGATGTGATCCATAAGACCCAGTCATCCAAAATACATATTTCATGGTGTTCAGCTTCAATCCTCTGACAAATATGTTCTTCACATATCCACCTCTACCAACTGCTGTTTTGATTCTAACAGCTGACTCAGTGTTGATGGCAGTGAGATCTTCAACTCTAACATCTTCAATTCCACCAGACATTTCACTGCCTAATGCAACCATGGCACTGTCTGGCGATATACAAGTCACCCTTCTAATGATTAAGTGCCGGGTTGGCATTCCAAATCTAATTCCATACTCATCCCACCCACTTTTTACTGCAACGCAATCGTCACCCGAAACGATGTAGCAGTCTTCAATCATAGTGTTTGTACATGAATCTGTGGAGAAGAGAAAAAAAAGTTAGGAATATAGACAGTGGTTGTCAACTAATATAGCAAATCCAAGTAATGAAAAACATTTTAGTATCAATGCCCCTATTATGACTAGAAAAATTTCAAGTATGTTATCAAACTATAAACTACACAAGAAAGGGAGAAAGGTTAGAAATTTAGTGACGTAAGTTTGCCATCAAAAGTGAAAATAAGTATATAATAGAAAACAAACATTTCACCTGGGTCTATTCCATCTGTGTTGGGAGAGGTCACTGGTGCAAGAATGGTAAGCCCTTTTATAATTATGTTACTGAAGATGTAAACCATGGTCAGAATAATGAAGCACACTATACATCAATAAAAAAAGAGTGCGAAATTTTAATACATTTGATCAGAAAGAACAAGCCTTGTAACAAACCTGCTGTAAATTGGATGGACAAACCAGCTTGGGGAATTGACCAAAGTGAGATCTGATATTTGAATTTGATCAGAGTACATGATCTCAATCATGTATGGCCTGGTGAGAGTCAATTGGTTCTTGTGGAACTTGTCCCACCAATAAGATCCTTGACCATCAATTGTACCATTTTGACCTAAAGACCAAATTCAAATAGGTCAGATTAATAATATTTGGACACCTTAAAACAAACTTAACAACCTTTAATAGCATTCTATTTTTTGGAATAAATAATTACCAGTTATTACAACATCAACGAGGTTAGTCCCAAAAATTAGACTGCTAAACCTTCCACCAGGAGCATCTCTTCCTCTTCCATAAGAAGGTAGTACAGGAAGTTGGGGCCATTCTGATTCATCCTGTTAATGTGGTAATGTAAGTGACCCTTTAGAAGATCATAGAGTCTAAAAATGTAAATGGAAGAGAATGGAGAAAGCAGTGGCTAGAGGCTAAACCTGAGAAGCAAGAAGAACAGCACCCTTTTGGAGAAAGAGAGTGAAATGGCTTGTAAGATTGAAGGGTCCCGTTAGCCATTTGCCAGGTGGCACAATAAGTTGTGCACCTCCATCAGAAGCATATTGGCTCAGTTTGCTTATTGCAGATCGAAACACCTTCGTGTTCGATGCTTTTCCATCACCAACCCCACCAAATTCTGTCAAAACTGCACTGTGTTTTCTGCAATTTATGGCAGGGTATTCAACGTTGCTCAATCCATTATATTCCCTACATTCTGCTACCTTCACATTTACTGCTCCCAATATTATTATCAAAGAGATCACACCAATCACCTACACAAAACAACTATTCCTCAGCAAAATCATATTCAAAAGACATATGTTTATTTTGTCTTCTCATAAACCATGTATATGAACGATACACTAACCAAAAGTTTGCTATGAAAATCACCAAAATCCAAATGAATGTATGATGCATTCAAAAAACTCTATGATGGTTATTCATGACAAAATATGTGTTCTATGCAAGAAAACCTAAAGACAAGAGAAAAAAGAATTACATGAGAATTTCCAAGGTGAAACCACTGCTTCATGGTGTGAGACATAGCACAGTCAAGTTTTAGTTTTCCACTTTTCTTGTACAAAAGACATAAACATAGGCAGATATATATAGAGAGGGAGGATTATCAATAGTTTATGCAGAGCTGGAATAACAATATTTTATTGTTTTAATTTTCACATTAATCATATTTATTTCATAATTTTCATTCTTCTCTTCCTGACTCTCATTTCTATAGAAAGTTTGCTTTGAATGGAATAAATGGTGACAGTTATGATTATAAATAAATACAAGGTTAACAATACAATTGGTTGGCTGAATTCTTTTTTATAGAAAAGTTTACTTTGAATGGAATAAATTATGACAAATAAATAAATAATACAATGTGTATAGACAGAATACTTTTTAATATTAATTGAGTAATAAAAATAGCTTTAAATAGTAAAATTTGAAATAAGAATGAAGAAAAAAAATTAATAGGGAAAAATTAAAAGTAATAACAAAATTAATTCAATGTGTATTGGTTCAATATTTTTTAATATTAATAGATTTATAAAAGTATATTAACTTTAAGAGGAAAACGTTTTTTTGAAAAACTGAAAAGAACTATTTTAAAATATTAACGGCCAAAAATTTGAGTGAAAATGAAAATTTTAATATAGAAAAATTTAAGATTGATTTAAACGAAGAATTGACCATATGAAATATTATTGTTAAAGGAAGTTTTAAACGGAAAAAAATATTGTAGTAAATGGAAATTTTGAAAGCAGTGAATTAATAGATAAGATCAATCTTAATGTTTTGTCTTTTTTTATTATTATTATTATTTTTTTTTTATGCTGAACAATTCATTCAAAGGAGTTTATTATATCTTTTTTATTTATGAAAATTGTATATCAGTATCAACATAACTTAAAAGTTTTTTGTTTTTTTTTAAGGATCTATATTAACTACAATTCCAACTTGGTTAACGAGTTTTTCATAGAATATTTATTTTTAGCATTAAAAAAATTAAAAGAAAATCAAACTAAGGCTTGGGATCAGGACAAAAAAACCTATGAATTGAGAGTTTGAAACATTAATATGAAAGAAAATTTTAATATAAAATAATATTATTTTTAAATTTTGTTTTACTGTTATGTTTTAATATTTTTAATCTATTTATTTAAATGAATCAATTTATTGTTTTTGTCAATTTTATTAAATTATTTAATAAAAAATATCATACATGCTAACATGTCAATGTTTCTATGGTGATATTGATATAAAATACATAATAAAATAACAAAATGAATAGTAATAGAAGCACGTAAGACTTATCTTAGACAATTCTTATAAATAAATTACATGGTTGACAAATTTTATATTAATAATAAAATAACCATAGAATATTGGAAATTCTTAAATAAACATATTTGGATGAATTTTTCAACGTGAGAATAAAAGAGAAAAAAGTGAGAATATTGTTATTATTATTATTATTATATTAATGAAAGTGATTTTTTTTGTAATATTGAGATGTTTATATACCTTTATCCTAAAATATTTCTCAATCACTTATTGCATGATTGTGTATATAAATATTATGATTTTGGATATTGGAGACTAAATGTTGAACCAATATTAGATTCTCCACGGGGAAACAAAAATTGTTTAAAGTTTACCTCATTTCACAAGTGTTTAACATAAATTTTACAATCAATTGGAATTTATTTATGTGGTAATTAAAGTTTCTTAAATTGTATTAATATTATTTGTAAAATAATGTTGTGAATAATAAATAAATAAATAAATAATTTTATAGAAATTTTTATTTAAATATTTCCATTAGTCACAAATTATCTCTTAATTTTTATTTTACATATTTTTTTATTTTTGTAATATCCTAAACATCAATTAGATTTCATAATTATTATAATTATTTAAACTAAATGTAAAAGAATTTTAAAAATAAAATAAAATGATTTAAATATTTATCATATAAAAAATTTTAATTTTTTTTAAAATATATATTCTAAAATATTAAAAATTAATGTATATAAAAAATAATACTTAATAACATACATGAAAATAATAAAAATTAGTGCATATTTATTATTATTAATAACTTTTAATTTTTGTTTTTATATTATATATTTTTCTTTTTAATAAGTAATATTTTTATACTTAAAATAAATATGTGAATTTTTTATGTTAAAATATCATATTAAATTAGTACTTAATTATAATAAAAAAATATTTTTAATTTATTAAAAAATAAAAATGTAAATAAATTATTATACAAACATAAGTGTTTACAAAAATTATTTTTTAAATAAAACTTATAAAAATTTAGTATAAATTATTTAAAAGTGAGGTGTTATAAATGTAAAAAAAAATGTGTTGATTAGTAAATAGAGATATTCTTTTATAACATGGTAAAGAAATTTGAAATCATTAATTAGGAAATGGAAATAGTTTTTGACATGGTTAACTTTAATCTACAAAATTTTTTATAAGGTTTTGTATCAGATTAATTAAGAAATTAAAAGTAAAAAATAATTATAGGAGATCAATGCATCTGTGTGTTATTCATTCTCATCTTTATTGTAATTAATCTGATTGTTCTGTGTTAGTTAACCCACTTTCGAACGCTAATTAATTGCTCAACACAAAAGTTTAAATGCATTTCCAACAAAATACCAAGATAATGGAGATTTCATTTCATTGAAGGTACAATTCATTAGATTACAAAATTCTCTAATTTGTACTGAAGTCAGAGAATCCTGCAGCATATGGCTGTATGCATTAGAACACTGAAGCTTTGAGTCTTCTTCCCAACTCCTTTCTGTTCATAAGGAAATGATCATTATTGTTAGAATAACATGAAAACAAATATTTCCATGTCACAGGTTAAGATGTTAATGATAAAAAAAAACAGTTTACCTAACAAGTTGCCTATCAAAGCCTGAAGCAGCCAAGACCCCTCTATTCTCTTCAGCCCTTCTAAGGAGGTAAGGCATGACCATTTCTACAGGCCCAAATGGCATATACTTGCTGACCTGAAACCCTGCATTGCTCAAACCATAGGAAAGTGCATCTGACATTCCATATAGCTGTGCAAATTCTAGCTTCTGGTTCACCTTTCCAACTCCCAATTCATGTGCTTTTGCTGCAGCCAATTTCCCTACACAAACATTCTCACACAATATCAAGCACTTGATGTTGGGATTCTAAATCAATATAGTTCATGTATTAACTTCATTAAATAATTATCAGTCAATCACAAAGTTAGATGACTTTTATGAAAATTATCCTAAAAGTCAAACAAAGATTTTTTTTTTTTTTCCGATTAATTGATGATGTAAAAGTTTATACATATATATATATATATATATATATATATATATATATATAGCTTGAATTATACGTCTTAAGTACCTGATTCAATATTGTGGGTTGCAAGAACAACAGAACCAGGTCCAGTAGCAACCTTCTCAAGCAGAAATGATGAGCAGTCATTGAAGCAATTGTGTGTGTCCTGAATGGTATTGTGAATTGGGGATGCATGTCCGAAAGACTCAGCCAAATTATCCTCTGCGGACATGTAAGCACCCCTTACCAATTTGAACCCCATTGGAACTCCCATTTTTTCTGCTGCCTTTGTTGTCAGCAACAACCTTTCCTTGGCATCTTTCAAGTATGTTTGAACGGTTCCAAACACAACAGGGTTGCCATCCTTGTTGTGCATGATGGCAGAAGAGTATGTGAAGTAATCAATAGCTGGCTGAACAGTAGTGTATTCAGCATCAACCAACAAAGGCATATTTGCTTCCACACATTTTTGACCAAGTTCAAGGAGTCTTTGGTTGGCTAGTTGAAGATCACTCTCTTCTTCTGGGGTTACAGGTTCTGGTCTCTTCTGCGTGTGGTACAAAGGGCTAGATTCTGAAAAAATTGGGAGGGAATCTTGCTTCCATGGCAGAACAAATGAAGGGTCCTTCTGTTGCCATCTTAGAAGGTCACTAACTCTTTCTAGCAATGCCATGGGGCATATTGCAGTAATTTTCACAATAACAAAGCTCACCTGTCAGAAAAGATAAAATCAATATCCTCATCATGGCCTACCAGTAGAATGACATGCATTTCAAAATTATGATCTGACATCTCATTACAAGAAAGTAAAGATACAAAAGCAAATGTAGAACATAAATGAAAAATATTAATGTTTGATAATCACAATTCAAAAAGATTAATACAAGTGATTGTTTCTATTTGGGATGTAAACCTAGTTTGATCCTTTTAGCACATTCATTCTTCATTAAAAAGATAATCACATTTAAAAAAATAAGAAAGAACATTTGCTGTTGCACCACCTTGTTTATACACTCTATATTTACCAGATAATGTTAAATTCTTAAAACATCTTACCATGAATCTAACATTAAACATGAGAAAATGGTCGTACAAAATTATTCTATGGCCACTTACCTAGCCAAATTTTCACCACCGAATGCGTAGTTTCCTTTTTGAATTTACAGTAAGGAAGATGATACTTTTTCCAAGATAAATCCACAACTTTTTTTTAATATTATAATAATAATTTTATTTTATTTTTATTAAATGATTTATAGATTATTATATTAATAAAAGTGAGTTTCATTTTATTTTTATTTTTATTAAATAATTTTATAAATTATTATATTAATAAAAGTGAGTTGTTTGAAGGTTTTATGGTTTTTGGTTCTCACAGTATCACCATTCTTAGAGTAATTATAAACCGTAATATATGATTATCTTTTAATCATACTTCTCATTAAAAATGACAAAGACAAGTGATTCTGGCTAGACTCAGTCATCTATCATGTGAATCTTCAGAAAAACACAGTTTTGTGGGACACACTACATGATTTATGTTAGAGATCATTTACTAGGTGAGTCTCATCGAAACCATGTCTTCTTCTGTCTTGTGCATGTGAGAAGCCAAGAAAAAAAAAAAAAATGAAGAAACTTACAGAGGATGGTGGAAGTGATTTGCTAACATCAACATTGTGAAGAAACCCTTGAAGGTTCCTATCACACCCCTCATTGTCGTGTGCGTCTTCCACCCCATAAACCAGCATGCTACGCAACCCGGTGTCGTTCAGCGCCCGTATACTCCTCCCGGCTGCCACCGCATCCTCACCGGCGCAAAAGTGGGTGTAAAACGTATGGCGCATGGCGGCCATGGCAAGATCCTTCATCACCTCGCTCTGTAGCATCCTTGACTTCATCACCCACATTCCCAAGTCCACCATGGGCCCCACTGCCATAGCATGCTGCACGGCGGAGGACCGGAGCAGATGTCCTGTCGACACCGTCCGGAACAGCTGCTCCGCATCCTCCAAGCTCAGCGTCGCCGTAGTGGGAGACGGTGGCGCGATGGTGGTGTAGAGGGAGTGGTGGATGGTGTTGAGGGGCTTCGTTCTTATGTTATAAGGGAGGTTCTTGAGGATTCTAGAAGGCATAACACGGAATGCCATTTTTATGATGATGTTTTTGTTGTTGTTGAAGAGATGAACCTGCTCTTTTTCTTCTTTGTTGTGTTCTCTCTTCTTGTTCTCAGGTGTGGAAATGAAAGAACATTGGGTGCTGTGTTTTATAGGCACCAGAACGACGAAATTGATGGGATTAAGGAAAGAACAACACTACAACGTTAAGTTGGGTAAGTTGCATGGTGTAAGGGTGTGTTTGATAAGATTAGAGTAGTCAACTTAGGTTATGTTTTCAATTTTAGTAACTATTTTTCTCCTTTAATGGTAACATGACTAAGGATTCGATGTAATGACTTATTAAATGTTTGGAGTGCTACAATTACATTAATTTTTCAGTTTTGTTTTTATAATTGGTTAAATTTCGTTAGGAACTACAAAATTTTGATTAAAAAAAACTTTTAAAATAAAAAGTAAGATCCAAATACACATTTTACTAAGTATAGAATACAAAATTTGTTCCGCAATTTTCTTATGTATATTCACATATTTAACGCATTTATATAAAAAATGATTAAATATATTTGAAAAAGGTGCAAATTCTCTTATATGAAAAAATTAAGATGATAAGACGTGTATATCCACTCCATTTTGTTCGTCCCGTCTCTGATTAGCCAAAATCAGAACATAACAGGTTAATCTGTCAAGTCAGGACGAGCTAGAGATCCTAGTCCATCCCACCAAAAGATAAGCTGACGAATCAGTTCATTAATAATTTTTTTTATATAAATATTTTTATATATATATTTTTTAAATATCTTTAATTATATAAATAATTTTTAATTTTTTATTTATTAATTAATATTTTTATTAGATAAATTGAAAATTTATTATATTTGCGTTTCAAAATAATTAATTATAATTAATAATTTAAATTTAAATACTTAATTTTTATAATTTAAATTATAATATACTTAGATATCTCAATAATATAAAAAAATTATAATATTTTTAATCATAATTATTTTTATTTTTATTTTAATATATAAATATTGTTTTAAAATGGCAGGTCAACTTGTTCTCGTTCGATTCTTAGTCCATCAAATTAACTGAACGAGACAAGTCAAAAATGGACTAATAGACTAAAATTTTTAACTAGTTCAATTATTTTTAGTGGGATGATCGAGAAGTCCGTGAGACCTACCATTTTATCATTAAAAATTATTGATCAATTAACATTTCTAATTTATAAGGTAGTAATTATGAAATAGTGAATATGTTACCTTAAAAAAACCACAATTTTTTATCAGGTGATAGTTTTAGGTATTTTATTCAGCCTTATTTTATATCACATTCATTAATTTTATTTTAGGAATGCGTTATTAAGAGCATATAAAGTTTCCAATTTTATTGAATTTGATGGTGAAATTAGGGAATTGATAATAGAGCACATAGTCAAATGGAGTGGGGGCATATTGCCATGAATGAATATTTGAAATGAAATATATTCTTCCTTAATTAAAAAGAAACACTTAGTTTTGGCTTTGTAAACCCATCTATCTAAAGTTCAATAATGTATTTTTTTGTTTTTTGGAAAAAAAAGTTATCTCCTAAAAAATAACATATTTTGAAATGATGAATTTTTATGTTAATAAAGTTATACAATTTGATACCTTTGTAATTTAGTGGATATCTAAAAAAAGACATATGGAACAAGCTGTGGAGTGAATTTGGTCTTGGAGGAAGGAAGAGTATTTTAAAAATAGTATAGTATAATCATAACTAAACAAGATTTGTGAGTTTCCATGTGTAACAATTCACCGGAAATGGTTACTCTATTTCTAGCTGCATTCAACACACGATGGTGTTTCCTTTCATCCATGATATTTTGTTAAAGTATTTCCACACAACTAAACTTATGCCAAGTATTTTCTTCAAAAATTAAATAAAATAAAAATAAGTAAAGGTAAATTCTTTGGCGTTATTCGTGCAAAATAGTTTTAAGCGAGTGTTGAACTAATTTTTCACCAAACTAAAAAACTACTTGATGAGACCATTGGTTTTAGATTTGTTATTTATTAAGGAAATATAGATGAATTTGGTTTGATCATTTATATATATATATATATATATATATATATATATATATATATATATATATATATATATTGTATCTTTTATTAATATTGAAGTGGTTTTTTATGATTGTTATTTTTAGTTTTTTTTTTTAATGTTATATTAAAGTTTGACTTTAACGTGGAAGATGTAAGTTTTACATTGAACAAAATAACTGGTATTAATTTATGTTGGACATATACAAAATTAATGTCAAATTAGGAAGAATATATATAGGAGTAAATGTAAAAAGTTTCACAAATTGAAAAAAAAATTTATGTGTGGGTTAAATATTGACCCACTTGACATAAATTCTGTATGTCTCTTGTATGAAAAGTAAATTAATTAAAAGCTAAGTTACCTAAAAGTTAAACTAATTACAAGTTAAAAATACTTAAATACTAAATTATATAATTATCCAAAATGTAAAGTAACAATTATTGTAAAAGCTAAAAAAACTTGTTAATTGTTCTTTTATTTATCTCATATATCTTCAGATAACGAAGATAGATTTGGAAAAACCTCGATACATTAAATTGACTCTTATTAACAAGAATTATTCATAAAAGTAAATAAACTTAATAAATATTGAAATGAATTACCTCTGCCAAAAAATGAGTAATACCCAGTCCAACTTATAACTTTAATCCAATAATACATAATACAAAAGTCGCATATCTCATTCATATGAATTTGTTTGCCTATTACATTAAAATGAGAAACAAAACACAATATTATTTTCAAAGTTTACATACAAACAATAATTATGACCTTTATTTTTAAAGTTTCTCACAATGTCTTCAAGTCATCAATCAAAATACGTAGATACACAATTATGTCATTTTATGGTTGTTAAGGTCCTGAAATCAACATAGACAACATAATTTTTTTTTTAATGCATAAGATATGAGTTAGATTTTAAATGATAGACAAAACTAACCGTGGACTGTGTCTACTACTTAAATTCTTATAAGGATTCATGACATCTATAGCTAGTCTAATTATCAAGTTTCTTGATTTCGCACATAATTTTGAAAAATATTTTATTAATTATCTTCCATTGTGAAGAATTAGCTAGGTGTCGAAGAGATTTGTCATATTTTTTACCATTTGTATGCCATATCAAGTTTTTTGCATCCTTTTTAATGATAAACAATCTTTTAAACCTAGGTATTATTAGTAAGTATCATAAAATCTTAGCGAAGGATCATATGTTTCTTCCTCACCGTTACTTCCATCATCTTTCTTTTTGAACCGCGACAACCCACATGTTGGACACATCTTTAATGTAGAAATGATAAAAATATTTCCAAAAACCCCTGTCTTGTATTGAATATGATAGCACAATATATACATGAAATACAGAAACATTCTAGGCTATAATTACGCTAACCATTATAGTCGGTATCCTAAATTTGTCTATTAACAGATATGACATTAATGTGCATCACTGTGCATCGCTGTCATGCCAAGCTAAATATGGAAAAAATTAATCATGTAGAATCATGGCAGGATACGGTATTTGTAATCGTATATTCTATGTTTATCACCCTCCCTCAAGATGGAGTATGAAGGTTGTGAATGCCCAACTTGCCTAAAAAAGAACCAAATTTAGTGGCGCCAAGAGATTTGGTGAAGAGATCAGCCAGTTGATGATGAGTGGACACATAGGAGGGTTGGATATGATTGTGTTGTATTTCATCACGAATAAGATGACAATCCACTTCAATATGTTTTGTCCGTTCATGAAACACAGGATTCTTGGCAATGTGAAGGGCAGCTTGGTTGTCACAGTAGAGAGTCATAGGGTCGGTGTGAGTAATGCCTAGGCTCGAAAGAAGACCTTGAAGCCATTTCAACTCACATGTCGTGTTGGCCATAGAACGATATTCTGCCTCAGCGGATGATCGAGAAACCGTATGTTGCTTCTTGGTTTTCCAGGAAACGGGGGATTGACCAAGGAAAATAAACCAACCGGTGAGAGATCTTCGAGTTAGAGGACAACTTGCCCAGTCCGAGTCACACCAACCATAAAGACGAAGGTCACTCTCTCTTTTTAAAAGCACACCCTGACCTGGGCTGCCCTTTAAATAGCGTACCACGCGGAGTGCAGCCCGCCAATGCTCCTGACGCGGTTGGTGCATGAATTGAGATAGGACATGAACACCGTAAGATAATTCAGGTCGTGTAAAACACAAGTAAATAAGGCGACCGATGAGACGTCGATATTGACTCGAGGTCGAGAAAGTAGTTCGCCATCGGCCAATGCTAAACGATGATTTTCTTCGATTGGCGTGGACACGAGTTTCCCTCCAAGCAATCCTGCTTCAGCTATGATGTCCAACGCATACTTCCGTTGACACAAGAAAATTCCTGTAGGAGATCCGGCAACCTCCACCCCAAGAAAGTATTTTAATTTTCCTAAGTCCTTCATACGAAAACATTGATGAAGATAATCTTTGAATTGCGCAATGTCTTCATGATGATTGCCAGCAATGACTAGGTCATCCACGTAAACTAACACAACCGGTTCGACATCTCCTTTGCGAAAGATGAACAAGGAGTGATCGGACGAAGAACGTTGAAACCCATATTGAACAAGAGCGAGTTGAGAGCTTGGCAAACCAACACCGAGGAGCTTGACGAAGACCATAAAGGGACTTGCGGAGACGACACACCATACCCTTTTGAGACACCAAGAACCCCGGCGGCATTTTCATGTACACATCTTCCTCAAGATCGCCGTGCAGAAAAGCATTATGGACATCCATTTGATGAAGTTCCCGGTCTTTGGCTACTGCCACTTGCCAACACTTGTCCGAATGGTGACCATCTTTGCCACTGGGGCAAAAGTCTCGTCATAGTCAATCCCCTCAACTTGGTGATTTCCCAAGACAACTAATCGGGCTTTGAAGCGTTCAACGCTCCCATCGGAA